TATAAAGGGAAACTTTGCTGATACTGAACCAGCTGTGTGGCACCGCAGTGTGTGCAGATGAGCAGTGTTTGGCTTCACCCAGCACCTGGACCTCTGCCCCTGGACGGGCAGGGATCTCTGGGTGAAGTCAAACAACGTTCATCACTAAAAAGCAAAAGCAGCATGTGTATACATTCAGTAGGCTATATCTTCAGTAGCTAGCTAGCTAACCCTACTTTTTGTGACTGTGTAGACTGTAGGCATAGCAAGAATGTAAGCTCACATCTCTTGCTCCACAGTTTAGTCCACTCCAAAACACTGCTGCCTGCAGCCGCCTCACCACCACGGTTAACTTAGTTTTAAGTTGAATATTTGACAAACATTCAGTCCAGACCCAGCGGCCTCATTTAGAGTCAGCTTCACTTAACGTCGGCAGCTCACCTCCAGCTCAGTCTGACGCGGACCGTCAATTGTTGTACAAATAGAACTGCGTGTGAATGACTGCAGCTGCCTGCAGATGCTCAGTGCAGAAAGTATGTCAAAGCCTTAGGCTGACGGCAAAAGCTTTCTCCGATGATCCAAATGAACAGAGGCACTGATCACCACCTTGACTGAAATCGGCCCAGAGGTTTGGATTACACATTTCTCACACAAGTTTTGACACAAAAACAGCTGAGACATTTGGAGATTGTGCTTCATAATTTAAATGTTTTAACACAGGACGAATCAAATTAAAGCGTAACACAAGTGATAGTATTAGGGTGTGGTTTAATGTGCAGTGACGCCACCTACATGCATGAGTTCTTCATGTGTTATGACTTTAAGAGAGTTTAGCATGTACAAATAGGCAGAAATTAACCTATTTAAAATGATGATCTACTCCACTTCAAGAATGTAAGTCAGCTAATCATCCAGCACAAAATCCATTCACATTTAAAAATAATACAACAGTCTGATAAATACCACACATCCACTCATCACTAATAAAACTTTAACCTTCAAGAACACAAGTTTCTATTTAGAAATTATTTTGAAAATGGGAACATGCCTATCCCAGCTGACGCCGGGTAAGAGGCGGGGTACACCCTGAACAGGACGCCAGACCATCGCAAGGCTGACACATGGAGACAGACAAACAATTTATAGTCACATTCACACCTATGGGCAATTTCTTAGAGTTACCAATTAACCTGACATGCATGTCTTTGGACTGTGGGAGGAAGCAAGAGTACCCGGAGAAAACCACGCTGACACGGGGAGAACATACAAACTCTGCACCGAAGGGTCCCCACCTCTGGTTTGAACTAGAAACATTCTTGCTGTGAGGCGACAATGCTAACCGCTGCACCACTGTGCCGCCCACCTGGAAATATGTGACTATGAAATGAATGACAGCTTCATAAGACGTAGCTGAATCTACTGTGTGCAGGAGCTGCAGGTAAAATGATTGCTTCAGAGCTCCTGTTGCATTTGCATTACAGCTCACACTGCACAAAAACTAAAGTAACTACTGAGCTGACCTGGTTAGATTTAATATACAGTAAATATAAATAGTTCCTGTTAAAAACTAGTGATTATTTGCAGGATGGTGCAGAGCAACACCTCCGATATGTCATCTCTTTAATGACACTTTATCATCAGTCTACTGTAACTTTATATAAGGCGGTGCACACACCATAAATCACCATGAAGTCATTCACAAATAGTTTTACTTCTCCAGTCAAAGGACAGGAAAAAACACCAACTGCATGAGTTTTGATTTATAATAAATTCTGTGTCACAAAGAGAATGAATGTGAGCCTACCTGCTTCTGCCTTCTGCTGCCACCCTGGAAGAATGAACACATCTGGGCAGGTAACAGCACACCTGAGACAAACATAGCCTGAGGCTCTTTTTGTCAATGAGAGAGAGAGATAGAGAGTGGGAGGGAGGGGAGCGATGGATAATTTGTGTAGGAAAGATGAGATTAAACAGACTGTATTTAATCAAGGTTCAGAGTAAAAATACTCAATAGTTTTTAGGTCTACACTGCAGCATAAAATAGAAGCTTTACAACAAAATAAAATAATCAACAGTGCTGGTACTGCCCCCTCATGGACTTTCCATGTTCAGATACGATGTGAAAGGTACCCTGGGTGCTTTGGTTTTTGACATCCTAGAATGCCATGTCAAGTTCTGCCTGTAACATGCACTGTCTTCTTTCAAAATACACTTTTATTTTTACAGGAAATTTACAGTTTACATACAGTCTCTTTCAAAATAAAGGCACTACATTGGTAAAACACTGCGAATTGCCTTCAAAAACTATCGCACGTAGGTAAGTTTAGCAAAAAGAACAGGGTTTGGCTTTATAATCTGAGGACACAAACACCACTCTCTTGGGTGAAAGTCAGTGTTTGTTGGACCCATCCACCACCCCTTCTCAGACTTTCGTCGCCTTAACTTACATTAGTGTCCCGCCGCGTTTCCCCCTGATGCCCCTGAGCGACATTAAACTGTAACAGTGACAGCTGCATATCATGCTGACCTTAAGGGACGGGTTTTTCATCAGTGTCTGATGCTGACCAACATCATTGTCCCGTCTTTGCCCAAGCGGCAGATTTCAACAATTTCGGAGTGAGACCATGTTGAAATAAGGGCAGTAGTTTTGGAGGATGGTAGATATATGTAACTTACGTGTATAACTTAGATAACTTTTTCCCTGCAGGTGTTAAAGGCCAACAAACCTGAACCGGGTGGTGGGTTTTCAGGGATGGGCTTTCCAACAGTGCCAAGCTCAGGCAGCTACGAGCAGGGGAAGTAGGTGTAGCCCCCCAAAATAAAGACTCTTCCCCAGGGTGTTTCTCCGCAAAGGTAAGTTGTAGAGACATGGGACCAGGACAGGCATGCTCAGAGACCACAAGAACATGGCAGTAGAGGGGTAGAGTTGCAAGTGTCTACCATCTCCCGTCTCTGAGATGTGGTGGCAGGATCAGATCAGTCAACACTTTGGCTTTTTGTGTCAGATGTTGATATATGTGGGGAATAAAGCAGGTTCTAACAATGCCAACAACTGTTGACGGGATTGGGGGGCGAGGGTGCAGGGAAGCTGATGTTGTGTGTTTGGTGTGTGGTTAGGGAATGGTGAAAGTTATCTTGATGATTCCCCCCCGCCTTGTTAGGTGTATAGTCCTGCTCAAAGGTTAAGATTAGGTTTTTAAATACCTTAATAGGTGCTAGGCATCAGCCAAGGGCAACTGTCACTTCATGTTCAACTCCAAGAAATCAAAGGTCTGGAAAAGCTCAGTGTTGACTTTTTAGATTGGTTTTGGATCCTGAATGTGGAGTATATACAAGTATATTAGTGTGTGTGTCTGTTAGGGTGTAGGGTGTATAGACCATCTTTGTTCACATCACCATCATCTGTGTTGTCATCGTTGTCGTTGTCTTTATCATCATCACCGTCATTATCCTTGTCTTCGTCTTCATTGTCGTCATCGTCGTCTTGTCGTCAGTTGTCTTTGTTGTCGTATTCAGGTCATCCTCATCATCCCCATCATTGTCACAATCATCGTTGTCATCATCATCATTGTCGCCGTTGTTGTGATATGAAACGCAAAAATGTAACATATCCATGGCTTGTAAAAAGCTGTAGGGTATATGGTAAGGGTACCAGAGTGTACCTGTTAGGGTGTAGGGTCATCAGTGTCATTAGCATTGCCAGTCAGTCATCATCGCTGTTCATCTTTGTTGTCGCTGTCATCGTCATCACAATCATCTTCATCCCTGTCATCATTATGTCAACATCATCATCATCATCATCATCATCATCGTCATCATCATCATCACCACCCGTATCGTCTTCACCGAAATCGTTGTCATCATTTTCACCGTCATTATCATTGTCATGGTCATGATCATTATCGTCATCATTACCATCATCGTCATCATTGTTGTCATCATCATCATTGTCATTATCATGTTGTACTCATCATCACCGTCATCATCATCTTCATAATAACCATCATTGTCATCTTCATTATCACGTCATTATAGTCGTTGTCCTCGTCATCATCACCTTGTCATCATCATCATTGTCATTATCAAGTTGTTCTCATGATCACCATCATCATCATGGTCATCTTTATTATCACTGTCATCGTCATTATAGTCGTTGTCATCACCATCATCACCATCATCCATGTCATCAACATGTCATCGTCATTATTATCACCACTAAAATGTCATCATCATCATCACCATCATCATTGTCAGTGTCGTGATATGAAACATAGAAAACGTACAAACGTAGCGTATGATGATGATAATAATAATAATAATAATAATAATAATAATAACAATAATAGTAATAACTTTATGTATAGAGCACTTTGGGAGCTGAAGAAGAAGAAAATACAGAACAAAAGTGATATTAATAAAACATGCCTTCACCGACTTGACATGGTTTTCAGGAAGGCATAATGCTGATGTTTTATTCTGCCGACTGAGATGAGTTATTCACATTGAGATGTTTAGTTCAAATATTGTAACTCAATTACATGAAAAACACTGACTAAAGAGTTGATGATCAGTATATTAATCTTGTGATAATCACATCGTTTCAGTTTTATTATCAAATCAGGTGATGACACACGTTCTATTCACTGAAGAAGGCCATGGAATACAATCAAAACTACACTGTCAAAAATAATACACAGGGAGATTTATGTATCCAACAGCTTTGAATAAAACGAAAACTGTTTATGAAATTATGTCATTTAAGTGTCTTTACTTTTATTTATTTGTTTCTTTAGTGACAGATCAGCAAATTGAGCCTCCTCAGAGCACTCAATAAAATCTACAAAACACACTGAGACATTTTCTGTCTGTCTCTGTCTCCCTCTGGTGGACACCAGACCTTCTAAACTAAATAAAATATGCAAAATAAAATTGCGACATGGCTATGATTTGCTGCAATAGACAGCACATAAAGTCCTTGAGATCAAGTGTTTTAAGTCAGTTTTATTAACTCTCTGTGTGATTGACTCTGAATTTTCCTGATACCTTAATACTAGCCTGAAAGAGGAGTGAGAACCACATAATGAAGTATGTTCACTTGTCTCACAAGAACCTTCACAATGGGAATGCCGCCATAACAATGATATTAAACAAATGCCTCTTTCATAATAAACAAATATGTTTGTAATAATAACCAAAGATGGGGGTGGGGCTTATATTGGATCTCAGTAAAATAAATCAATAAACAATATCATTACATAAAGCCTGCAGGTGTTAGGTGATGGTTTGGCTAGCTACATTTTTTGCACAAAAACACCAAGAACAGCCCAGATGATGTGACCTAGTGTTAAGGGGTTCTTTAATATTTCCTCCACTTAAGTTAAACAAATTTCCCCCCAAACAGCAAAAGACAGCACTCAGTTCTCAAGAAGGCGTAGAGACCAGAGTTTCTGTCTGACAACATTTGCTAACATGAGGCCTGCATTTGATTGAGGAAGGATCAGAATGTCCTGAGTGTGCATTTCCTTAGCTCTCTTAAGCCCTGAGAAAGGGCATCATCACACCCTGATTGCTCCAAACTCCTCTCAGTTCTTAATAAGGAGTCACGACCCATACCCTGCACAACTATGGCAAGCCGTTTTAACATTTAATAGCTAGACTGGATATTCATTACTGATATCTGCAACATAATTGTGTCTAGTCAAAACTCTTATTCAAGATATCTGTAATTAGATTTTGACTAGTCAAAACTCTAATTACAGATATCTGTAATTCAGTTTTGACTAGTAAGATTCAAACTACTTTTGCCATTCATGTGTATGGGGTTTGTCATTACAGATATCTCCAGTGTAGTTGTGGATATCTGCAACTGAATTGGAGATATCTCTAATTCCAGTTTGAGATATCTACAATTTAATTTTGACTAGTCATAATTCAAGTTCAAGATATCTTTAATTATCATCAATTAAAGATATCTACATGGTCCTTTCTAGATATCTTGAATTAAGTTTCAGATAGTCAGAATGAAGGTGTAGATATCTTGAACTTGAATTACGACTAGTCAAAATGACGTTAGAGATATCTGCAACTATTATTTTGACTAGTCAAAACTGAATTACAGATCTACAACTGTCATTTACGCTGTGTGACGAGTTGACTATCGTTTTGAGTAGCATCATTGCTGATATCTGTAATTCAGTTTTGACTAGTCAGAATGACGTTATAGATATCTTCAATTAAAATTCATACTAGTCACAATGACATTACTACTAGTCAAAATGACGTTGTTGATATCTATAATGGTAATTCCGGATAGTCAAACTTAGCGATTAAATGTTAAAATGGCTTGCCATACACAACAGGTGATCAGAATTACCCTCCAGTCAACTCAGGGGAATAGTGACATCCAGCTAAAATGAATTCAATAAAGGGAAATGACAGCACAAACCAAATAATGAGGGACTGCTGCACATGAATGCAGCCAACTTTAGCATAAAATCTTAATTTCAATCCTAAATTAAATAGTAAACTAAAGCTTTTAAATAAATGTAGTGGAGTAAAAAGTACTATATTTCGCTCTGAGATGTGGCAGAGTAGAAGTATAAAGTCAAGTACAAGTACCTTAAAATGGTACTTAAGTAGAGTACTTTAGTTACTCTCCAATGGAGAGCCTAACACTACCAGTCTGAGGGCTGTACACCATCACAGAGGTGTTTGTTTATTCACACTGACTGACAATACTCCAATGGGATCATAGCAGTGATGTCACATGATAAACTAATTTTAGATGATGGTTACACATTTCTCTCTGGGCTGAGAA